TCACTCAAGTAAAGCACAAATAACCAAAATTTCTACTTAAGTACAGTAACAAAGTATTTGTACTTAATTACTTTACAACTCTGGCCTTAATCTATGAAGATTTGCATGGAGACAAAACTGCTGTTTTAATTCAGTCTGCACACCACATTATGGATAAGGTGGTGCTATGATGGAGCGACTTTAATGCCCAGTTATGAGGTGATGACTGCTTAGTATATCTCATAAAGAAGTMGATGATATTTAAAATAATAAAAAAAAAGAATTTGCTAAACTATTACCATGTCTTGGCTAAATGAGAAGTACAGGTTCATTAGCTTGTCTCAGTACTTGTTAAATTAATTGGTGCCAAATTGGTGGCATTTTTGAAGCTGCCATGGTAGTACCCTAAACTCCCAGCTCCTCTGCTGGGATGGYCTTTTCAGGGAAAGCAAAATCATAAGCAAAACACTTTTGTATGGCTGAATATCATGTTCTGCAAAGAAAATTTACCCTGCACCCTTTCTCTGAAAAAAAAAAAATTCTTTTTTTTATTTTCAAGCTAAAAGCGTTAGGAACAGATCCTTCCAATGTCCAGCTGTCAGACAGGTCCTGACATGTACAGAGATACCCATCAAGGAAGCACCAGCAAGTCTGGCCTGGCCACACCCTTTTTTCTCTCCCCGCTGGCCCRTTGGGTGGTGTCAGGTTTCCTCCTGCACTAAAAACCTGCCCGGTACCAAAGATGTCATTGGCTAGCTCAGCGAGTTAGCTGCCACTTTATTTGCCTTTTCATTGGYCACCAGGGATGCCAGGGTGTGCATGATAGGCTCGGGATGTTTTGCACTGGTCTCAGGTTATTGATCACTGGCAGAGGGCTCGGTACGGCACAGCGTGGTTCTTCACAGAGCAGATATTGATCAGGAGAGAYTAAACGATACACAGAAGGTCATAAATGTATTTGGCATTAGAATTTAAATTCATATTCTCTGTTTTGTCTCTGACTGGTCAAATTCATTCAGATCGTTGACAAAGTTGTGCACAGAAAAGTCTGATGATACCGGGGGGTGGAGTGGTGTGCAGATTACACTGTGGTTACAAATCAAGGATTTAATCTTGGTTCATAATTTGCTCAGGTTCCTGTAATGCAGTGGAAGGTTGTGCTACAGCTGCTGTTTTTCAGGGAAATCATCTATTTTCATTCATCTTCTACTTGTTGCACGTTAACAATATTGRCCTCTACTTTTGCTTTGCTCTTGCTGTCCGTGTTTCAGACATTGGTCTTATAACATAGGTTAAAAGTTGCGGATTGAATGACCTAAAAGGAACACAACCCCACTTACCTGTTTTGTTGAGTCAGACATCTTAGTTTTTAGGGCTGCACAATATATCGCAAATATATTGTAAAGGACTGCTTGGAGCAAGTAGGGGTCTCTGCAGAACATGCTGTCCTGTGGGCGGAGATGGCCCAAATCGTTATTGGCGGAGGTCTTAATGTGGGCGGAGACTGCCCTACTCATGATTGGTGGAGGTCTTGATGTGGGTGGAGATGGCACAAATCATTATTGGCAGAGGTCTTAATGTGGGCGGAGACTGCCCTACTCGTGATTGGTGGTGGTCTTGATGTGGGCGGAGACTGCCCTACTCATGATTGGCGGAGGTCTTGATGTGGGCGGAGACGGCACAAATCATTATTGGCAGAGGTCTTAATGTGGGCGGAGACTGTCCTACTCATAATTGGCAGGGGTCTTGATGTGGGCGGAGACGGCACAAATCATTATTGGCAGAGGTCTTAATGTGGGCGGAGACTGTCCTACTCATGATTGGCGGAGGTCTTGATGTGGGCGGAAACGGCACAAATCATTATTGGCAGAGGTCTTAATGTGGGCGGAGACTGCTCTACTCATGATTGGCGAAGGTCTTGGTGTGGGCGGAGATGGCCCAAAAGACTTGATTGGTCAGATTGACGGATTTGAGGAGGCTGGAGGCAGCGGGGTGTAGCTTTGTCGAGTCGGGCAGGAAGCAACATGTTTTTAAAGATTAATTTTAGTCGTAACTTGAGAAAGGATAGTGTTGCACGAAATTTTAACATTGTACATGTGAAGGGATGTGTAACACGATGGCTTGATTCAAACATCCCTAACCAGCCTGTGAGAAGCGCGCTAAAAATCAATGTTTTTTTCCAGGCTGGTCAGGGATGTTTTTGGCCGAGCCATATTAGCTGCGTTTCCATTGCAAATGTGCACAAAACTTTGCCGATATTCTGTTAATGTCGAAAAACACAGTTTCGCAACTGCAGTGTTTCCATTAAGTAAGAAATGCTATTTAAGTCAAGCATGAATACGCTTGCTCTCGCGATAAGTCATTACAAACATGGCGGCAATGGATGTAAACACAAAGCATATTGCTACCACAACACTAGCGCTCGTCATCAGAGGAGATGTCTGTGTCTTATCGAGGCTTTCGAGTGACAAGCCATTTATACTTAGGAGCGGCTACGTATGCTGCGTTTTTGGGAAAATGTAGTCATTGAGTTTAATACTTTCTTTTACTACTTCAGTGATTTTACTATTACTTCTACTTCCTGTTATCTTCTTCTTCGTCGTCTTTTTCACCAATAGAAACAGCCGGTTCTTGATCACGTGACTCCCGTGATGCAAAAAAAAGTGTTTCCATTGCTGTTTTGYGAAATACATCAATTTCGATACGGCCGAAAAACCACCTCTTCCTAGCGCAAAACCATTTTGTGGAAAAATGTAATTTTTTTCGAAAYTGATTGATCGCACCTAATATTGTCATCACAATATCAACAAATATTATCACCATTGCAAGATTTTCTAATATCCTGCAGCCCTGTTTTACAGTTTAGACATTTGTCTCCAGTGTTTTAGGGGCTTTTGTCAGCTTTATTTAGAATGAAATTTCTGTGATGATATTTTAGTTTTACTTAAATGTMATAATGTGTTTTTATTATCTAGAGTGTATTCAGTGTTTGTGTGCAAATAAATKAACTTGTTTCTGTTTTGTGTTTTGAGTATATTAGCAATCTCTAATCTGTCCAATCTAAAAAACGATTGGATTGTTCGCTTTGCAGCATTTACATGAATAGGAATCTTATTTCACAACACACACACAAACAAACACACACACACACACACACACATGCTCTCCAAGTCAAATTATGAGCACAGCAAGTCAGCGTACCAGTTATTCCTTTCAGGTAAATGAATATTTTTGGGKKTTTTTTTCCATCTCTGCTCCACTTTTCTTTCATCACAGAACAGATTGATGTTTTTTTCTAATCTCTGCAAACACATTAAAAGTTTTGGTGTTTAGCTAATGCTCTTGTCAAGTGTGTGAAACTATGAAACAAGCTTAAATCATAAGTGGGCAAACGCTACAAGCAAACTCAGCTGCTGCAAAGTGGGATCCTGAGTGCTGCTGTCAAAGCTTTTTTTTATTGTTTGAGTAGCTGCTGTATCAAGGTTCATTTTTCAGATTTGGATCGGAAAAATTCAAGTTTTACCTGTCAGAAAATAAAGTTGTTTATTTTTTTTTGTAGTGGACGTGAGCACAGCAGCGCTTCCCTCGCAGGTTCCCCCTGCCACCACAGCCATCCTTCCCATGGACCTGCGTGTAGTGGACCACCCTCACCCCCACCATCACCAGCAGCCCCCGTTTGGCCTGGCCTCCCATCCCAACCCGACGCCGGCTCCCCCCGCGGCTTGCCCCGCCTCGTCCGAGCCGGGCAGCGGGCCGGTCATCGGTAAGGGCCGAATCTCTACTTGACTTGTTTAATTCCTGCCGTTTTCTTCAAAATGATGCAGTGGTTCCACCACCCCCACCCCCTGTTTCACCTCCCACCCACAGGCCACCAGGAGCAGCATCTGCAGCACGAGCTGGTGGCTCTCAAACACAAGCAGCAGCTCCAGAGGCAGCTGCTGATTGCAGAGTTTCAAAGGCAGCACGAGCAGCTGTCGAGACAACATGAAGCACAAATGCAGGAACATATTAAGGTAAGGGGGGTGGGGTYGAATGGAAGGGTCTTCTGTTAGTGGGTTATCATGCTCATCACCCTGTGCAGAGCAGGAGAAAACACATGAATGAGTGCATGTTAGAGTCTTTAGTGGTGTAATTTGCTGCTTGCTTATCTCCACAAGAATCTTGGCTCCATGTGTAAATTCATAAAAACAAACAAAAAAAATGTCCTGCTCTTGTTTTACTTGGAGCGCACAGCCAGCAGAGACCATCGGTTTGGGCTGAAAATAACAACAATATGTATTTTACAGCTTGAACTTTGTTGTCATTGCTGCACTCGAGCTTGGCTGCGTTCCAGTCTTCGGAGCTACTTGCTTTTTGCTTTCTTCTCTTCTGTATTCATTTGTTATTTTTTTTTGTTTGTTTTTTGTTTTTTTCTCTCGGCCAGCACCAACAGGACTTGTTGGCTCTTAAACATCAACAAGAGCTGTTGGAGCATCACAGGAAGATGGAGCAGCAGCGTCACGAGCAGCAGCTAGAGAAGCAGCAGCGGGAGCAGAAACTGCTGCAGCTGAAAAACAAGGAGCGGGGACAGGAGAGTGAGTAGCAACCAAAATGTCATTTGTGTTGTACAAAGTACCACAAAGTGATACTTGAGTAAAAGTACAAGTATCTTACCAAAACATTACTTTGGTAAAAGTTCTCATTTAGGAATTTTACTTGAGTAAAAGTCTTAAATTATCTGATTTTTTTTGTACTTAAGTATTAAAAGTAAAAGTATTGATTTAAAATGAGAAGTTAAATTTTCTATAAGGACATTTATTAGGTGGTGACCTCCCCAAAAACTGCAGAAATGACCATTGTATTAAAATAATTAATTAAAGTTAAATTTAGGATGCACTAGTCCAGCTGTTTCAGTTTATATACATATATCAAGGCTGCACAAAGCTTTTGCCCAAAATGAAAATCTATCTGAGGGCTGCGGCCAAATGTAATAATATAATTCATGAAATACAAATACGTCTTAAGTACAGTCCTTTTATTTTAATGATTATGTCCTGATGGAGTTTGACATGATTTGTTTGTGTACAAACTAATACGATACCAGAATTTTACATACAGTATTTATACTTCTCATTCAACCAGTTAAATTCACTCTATCTAGGAGGCTCAGTTTATATGGATAATATTTATTTTTTACAATAACAAGTTGTATGAAAACAAGCAAAAATGAAATAAAAGTAACAACTTTCTAGTTCTTGCCTTTTTTAAAAATGTAAGGAGTAGAAAGTACAGATAATTGTGGGAAAATGTAAGAAGTAGAAGTAAAAAGTCGGCTGAAAAATAATTACTCAAGTACAGATACCCAAAAATTCTACTTAAGTACAGTAACAAAGTATTTGTACTTAGTTACTTTAAAACTCTGCATTTGAACGATGTCCATATATACATCTGCACYGACGCACCTGGTGAAAATGATCACAACAGGTGTCAGTGGTCTTTGGCTCTACCAGCCCCTCGGTCACATCACCTGTAGTTTTGGCACAGCAGTCAGAGCAGCCTGACATCACACATTCACCACAGGAAGTCTCACAATGAGACAGCCAAGACARGGTTAGAATGAAACACGTGTCCTTACTTTGTAAGTTTCTTTGAGCCACCCCAGATTTACAATGGAGTAAAAATAATTTAAAAAACTTAGTAAAGTAAACTTAAACCAGGTGAAAGACAATGAGCTGTTTGATTCAGTAATGTTTTCCTGTTACAGGCTGCGGATCTGGGAAATAGATTTATTATCATTCCAGATCTGTGTAATCAACTTGGCCAAACTCATGAAACCAAAGTTGTTGCAGTGMTATAAGTGCTGTCAGGAGTCATGATGATCTGACTGTGGAGTTAAACATTCTKTACTCGCATTTACAAAGTAAACTTTATACAAAATTGATACATAAATGAGATTATTGTATTTCTAGTAGGATAAAAGTGTCACTTAACAGTTTAACACTGTAGTTAATAGATTTAAAGCCTTTTTTATGCCAGTAAAGTCTTTTTGTTTGTCTTTACTCAGTGGGCAGAGTGAAAATACAGTTTGACGTCCACGGAAAGAGTGTTAGGTTGTAAACAGGCGATGCTTTAAGTACTGTTCTAAATTACATGGAGGCAGGCTCATAAAAGGCAGTGTGCCTCAGCATCAGGACACGTGTATCGGAGATGTCGGTGCTTACAGTTGCACCATGGTTTAGAGGACACACATCAGATTTTGTCACTTTCACATACTGAACTCACCACTTCCTCTCTGAGGCCTGATGCATCACCTCGTCGCTCTCACTGTCATGTTTTATTAAGTAAAAAAAAAAACTCTCCTTTTAGAGTTTCTCTTAGAACGCTTTCCAKCCCACATTTTCTCCTTTTCCCTCGTTGTCTTTTATTCCCGGGACGTTTTGTTTCTATAGCCGAGGAATGAGGGCGGTAAATGAGGAGAGACCAGGATCAGAGTGCAACTTCTGATGTTACATAGCACTCCTGCTGTCTCTGTGGAATTTCAATAAAACTCTGATGTAAGACTGAGCACCCTGTTTATACTGGTTTGGGTTCTTATTATTGGTCAAAGCAAAGATGGATGTTGTTATAACCTTCATGTTAGTGCCACAGATTGGACCACAGGTTTGATTCAGTAGCTTTTTTTKAGGTATAATCACCTCYATGTAGGGCAGTGGTTTTCAAAATKTGAGACACCGAGCCTGCAGCTGATAAAGTATGTACCTTTATGGTTCTGCTAGYTTCCTATATGCCTGTAAACTCATAATGATTGGCTTTTTTAAACCTAACTTTAGAAGTTAAAATCCCTTAACTTATTGTTCTCCTGCTCCTTGCTGCTGTCCAGGTGCAGTAGCCAGTACAGAGGTAAAGATGCGGCTGCAGGAATTTGTCCTGAATAAGAAGAAAGCCCTGGCTCAGCGAAACCTAAACCACTGTCTCCCCAGTGATCCACGCTACTGGTATGGGTGAGTATTACTGACCGCCAACGTACGATCAGTCACGGCTCAGAATTTAAAACAGTTCCTACTGATAATTTGTCRGATATTGTTTTTGTGGTTCTCCGTGCCACCTCGCCGTGTTGGGGCGAGTCATTGTCCCGAGCAAATGGGTTCAAAAAYCCGGGGGACTTGTTCTGGAGTGATGACAGGACAGAGCAGTCCGCAGTAATCAAGGCCTTGCTCTGGTCATTTTGTGATGAAGAAGGAGCCAAGATGAAAGTTTTCGACTCACTGGTCCATCTACATTCCAACCCTCACCTGTGGTTATAAGATSTGGCCACGACCGAAAGAACGGGATCATCTTACGAGCAACTGAAAGGAGGTTTCTTTGAAGGGTGGCCGGCTCAGCTGGCCCTAATCCCACTGAGCTGGACTATTGGAATACAAGTTGGTGACTGAAAATTGTGCACATTTTTTGTTGCAGTCTTGCTTAATTCTGAAAGCTTTGAACCCAGGAGAAACTGAAGAGGGTCTCTGGGAAAATGGATTTCTGAGTTCTGGACTTGTTGCCTGAGCATGAACATGTGGGAGAAAATGAATATACTGTATAAGTGTAAGAAAAACGTAGAAACCTTGTACCGTCATGACCAGTGGTGGGCAGCGCTAATCCAAAAATTAGCTCCGCAATTTCTAAAGCGCTTATGAAAATATTTAGGTCCGCAACTTCGAAAGCGCTTATGCCGTAGAAAAACTAGCGGAAGCTAATTTTAAAGCACAAGTTTAATTTGACACTTACTAGCTGACAACAATTCATGTACAATATATGTACAACACTGCCAACTAGCGGTGTATGAACTCTTTTACAACTTAATTCTCCAACCGTCGATTGCTGGGGATGTGATTTCCTGAAACAGAACTTTGGCTCCTGGTGTAAAAATTAAAAAGTTGTTGAGGATTGCTAGTTCGGCTGCTTCGTTGACTTTTTCTTTTGTTTGTTGTAGATTTTTCATTAAAAAAGTATCAATAAAGTAATTTTAAAACTGTTTATTGGAAAACTGAAGTGATGCATTCTGGGTACATGACGGATTTGATTTTTGACGGGAAATGAAAGCACGCAGTACAGGAAATTATCTTCCCTTCAAAATAAGAGCTTGGATTTTAAAGTTTTCCTTGTAGTTGCTCCAGTTGACCACTAGATGTCAGTCTTCACCAGTATAACATCTTTAAATCATTTCTGAGTCTCTAACCCCGTTGGCCGATTGCTTCGACCAATTACGTCAAGTATTGAGCTCCAGTGTTTAAACTTTATTTTTTAGAAAAAGGAGCTCTGATTGTAAAGTAAAATAAATCAATACATACAGAACTTTAGTATGGATTACAAAAGTTAACTGTTTTTGCTATTGCCTTCCTGCTACGTAAGCAGACACAAAGCATTGTGGGAAATGAGAACCCTGACTGAAAGCAACAKTCAGCAAAGATGTAGCCTGGCCCTTGCCTTCCTACGCAACTCCACTCAATTCTAGTTTCCCTTCACTGCTCCGTCTGGGACTTCTCCCATTGAGATGGATTTCGCTGGCAGATTTTCAGCCGGGCCAATCAGAGAACAGAACGTCTATTTTCTGCGCAGTGTCTGCTTGTAGTTTATTTTACCTGGGCCAATCAGAGAACAGAAGGAGTTTTTGAATGACGTCGATGTTCTGTGCAGTCTGCTTGTTAGTTTAGCATACGGCAGTGGAGGTTGGAAGTGAATGAAGCCAGTCTGTGTTGATAAGGCTTCTAAATTAAAATAAATTTGTCTGACAAAGCAGCAGCTCTCATTTACAGTCATCTCATTTGGCTTGGTACTTTCCTCCTCTCAGTAGGGTTGTTTACAGCACACGCGATTTCAGGTTACCTTCTTAGCTTAGCCTCCTTCACACCGACAACACAAGCTTCAGCAGAGGCCACGCCCCCTGCAAGAAACGATTCTCTACACAGTAAGTCCAGACCTTTGTACGAAGCAAAGTGAAGGACAGGGGTCTGGTTTTAACCAGGCTAGCAAGATGTATACCTTCTCAATAAGTGTGCTTATCTGGGAGGGGTGCTGTTGGACAGATCACGTGTGTTGTGATTCATTGACAGCCATACCTTCTACTGTTCAAGATAATGATGACTGGTAGATAATTAGTTATTAGCGGTACTGCATTTTAATTTTAGAAAGCACAAATCTGCTTATGAATTATAAAAATTAGTAAGATCGCTAAAGCGCAAATGAAATATTTAGGTCCGCAATTAGCGGATTTGCGCTTTAGCGGGCTGGTGCCCACCACTGGTCGTGAACCATTGTAAAACTATAATAACTAATTTCTAGTTTAATCTGAAAACTTATGGAAAGCAAGTCAACACATTCATTATAACTTTGTTTCTGCCAATAATAAACAAATAAATAAAAGGCAGAATTTATTACCAGTATGTGTTTTCCACAAACTTCAGAGCTCTTAAAATTTCTAGTCTTATTTATTTTTCTGTCATCAAAGACTTCTATCTCTGAGTCATCGTCTGTCTCATTTAAAAGGAGAAGAAAAAAATCACATTAAGGAGGAATATCAAACATAAAAGCTGTGGGTGACAGACATAAAATCCTCTCATCTTTATGGCTTTGCAAACATGGCAAACAGCGTGGTGTTGTGAACCCCCCCCTGCTGTGTGGGTGCCTGTCATCTGTGTGCTTTTGTGTGCGCATCAAATTGCCAACATCAACATTAGAATCTGTGAGTTGAAATTGTGGAGAAAAGGCTKCAGCACGGAGGCTTTTTCTGTCCGTTTGTTGGTGGTGATTGACAGTCGGCTCTGTCAGAGGTGTGTTTGAAGTGGGCAGTAAGAAAAAAAAGACACACTCTGGCTNTTTTTTTTTTCTTCTTTAAATATTTGAAGTCAGTCGAACATTTCTGCCTATGCAGAAGTGGCTTTAAATCCTTGTTATAACAGCTTTTTCTGTTTTTCCAACCTGATGAAGTATTTTTTTTTTTTTGGTCTGCAATTCTTTCATTGAAGTTGGCAAGCTGAACTTTAAATAAATAGTTCAGACTAATTTGAGTGTCCATTTTTTCTCATGTTTGGGTCTGTTTTTCCCCCCGCCCACCTAAATCTTCACACTTTACTGTGCCTTTTTTAATTCTTGGTCTTGAAAGGAGAAATGAAAGTGGACTGTTTCACGTCATTTCTCAATGTGTGCAAGTGTGTAATTAAGGTACAGTTCATGTAGGGGGATTAGATATTAAAGAAGTATTTAAAGCATAGTACTTTCTGGAATATAACTTTTATTTTTGTTCTTTACAGAAAAACCCAACATAGCTCATTGGATCAGAGCTCCCCTCCACAAACAGCACTGTCAGCGTACAACCACCCAATGCTGGGCACATACGACTCAAAAGACGACTTTCCACTACGAAAAACAGGTAAAGAATTTAAAAGATAACTTTACTGACATTTTTCTCCATTWTCATGCATTCATTAACTGTCACAGCTTAGGGGAGAAAATGTCTTATTAGCAAAGTCAGGAACCAGAAATCAGTCACTGGAGGATTAATGAGAACATCTGAAATATTCTTTACTGAAGATATAAAAWATTTATCTCATGACCTCTCTTGAATTATTCTAATGTAAATGAGACTGGAGACTTTTTAAGATGCAAAATAGTAAACTTTGACACCAGAAAAAAAAGTGTTTAAAGGAATTGGGTAAGATGTTTATAAGAATATTGGTGGCAAGTTGAGAAGCAGTAAACAAAATAACAAATTAAGAARCGTTTGACATATACTGTATTTATTCGAGTATAATACGTAAAATTTAACCCATAAAATCATGTACAAAGTTGGGGGGTAGTACTATACTCGGATAAATATTTTTGCTGATGTATTTTAACTGAAATATCGGGCTCATTCACAAAATCCCTGAGTCCGGAAATGAAACCCCGTCGTAAAAAGCGGTTGAAGCAAGCTTACCTCTAAAACTCCTTCGTGCCTCTGAGCGARAKAGTAACAGATCCAAGCAGGCAACATGATGTGAAAAAAAAAGAAAAAAAGGCAGTCCTGCATAACGAACTAATGATATTAATGTGCGACCGGGCCRCTCCTGGGACAACAACAAACGCGTGGTCGGCTGTAATGGCTGCCGTCTACCGGTGTTCTGTAAAAGTTGGTCTACCTGAAAAAAGTTTCCCCACCAGAGGGGGCGCTCGCGAGACACGGAGGATGAGATTGTTGTTGGGTGGGATTCTGATGCCTTTATTACAGAGGAGGAATACCAGAAACTTTTAATGATACAGATGATGGTGAGTCTGATTTTGAAGGCTTTTGATTCAGCTTCATCCATACTTGTTAGAGCCACATCAATGTTTCTGTTTGTTATATCACACCAGTTAACAAATGAACATTTGATAGTTTTTGTTTTAGTTATACATTTGTTGTTGTGTACCTTTTAGTACATATGTTGTTGAAATAAAATAAAAAACTGATACAACAGTCAAATGATAATTTTACTGATATATATAAAGACTGCAAAGGCTGAAAAATCCTGAAGTCCTTATGAAATTAGAGGTAGTATGAGAATTACATTTTTTATGCTTATAAGATAAAAATGGGGAGGGGGGGGGTTCGTATTATCTATGAGATCATATTATACATGAATAAATATGGTAATTAACCTGAGATCCATGGTTAGGGTAGTCATAGTTGAAGATTTCACCTGGTATTATTTATTACTCATAGTCAAATGTTTGCTCCTGTGAGCTGTAATTCTTTTTCATGGTGAATGGATTTTTTTCCTGTTACAAAGCTTCAAGTTTTTCGAGTGTTTCTGACTAATTCAAACTGTTTCTAACAAACATTTCTTCACGGTCATCATAGATAATTGACCACTTTTTCACCCTCGAAGGAATGTGGGGGGAAAAAAAATTGAAATTCTTGCCTTTGGATGCATCAGACTTTGTCCATCTGTTTGTACTCAGAACAGCCAAGCTGTGATTATTCACTTAGCCACAGCAGCTGCTTTGGCTGCACCACTGTCTGCTTTCACAGCTGGAGAACAAACCCTGTGTACTCTGCACTGCAGCCCACCTGCTGCGATGTGGAGACAGAAACCTCAGACTGTAAGTTTTAACTTTCAGGGACACCCAGATGTAATCCAGGATTTTTCCTCTGAGAAATAAACACACAAGAGACAGAGTCTGCCTTTTTTTTTTTTTACTGACACAAGGCTCAAGGAAGTCGTGTAAAAGTGCACAGATTTAGTTTTGGAAGAATATGGAATCATGGAGGCACAGTTGTGACGTGGATTGCATTAAAGTGGCCCACAGAGATACAAATTGTGTTCAAGAGGAAGTAAGTGACGTKGCTCAGCTCTTCACGTCATGAGTGACGCTTTTCCTCATCTTGGTCCTTTTATTTATGTAAACTCTGAACGTGCATGAAATGCTCTGTCTGTTCTGTGAGTTGGGGGATACAGTGATTTACAACAAAGCTTTGTGATGACAGAGCACAGAGGGACACTTTGAATGCTGTGGCAGGAAGTCTGCAAGTTTTCTTCATTCCAGAGATGGACTTGTCGCGCTGACCTTCCTTTTCCCCTTTTTTTACACATGGCTACACACACACACAATACTGATCACTAGTGAACTTGTCACTGATGTGATAAGCTGAAATTTTAATGCTAAAGATTTTAACAGCCATTTTTTATCAAGGAATTTCTGCTTTGACTGTACCAGCCAATCTTCACTTAAAGAAAAGTATTTTCCTTGTTCTTAGTAAAGTTTCTGATGATTCTTGCWCTTGTTGGTGGAAAGTTAAAACTTTAAACCATGTTTAATGAAACTCCGTGTTACAGAATCCTTGAGAAGGTTTACATTTTATTGTCGTTGTTCCAAGGTTTGAAAATAAAAAAGTGTTGGTAAAGCACTGGAAGCCATTACTGTTGTTTTATTCTGAATTAACAATTTCACTTTTGGACAAAGATAGTGTTCTCATAGCGTTGTCTTTTAGTAAATATGATTATCCATCCATCCATCCATTTTCTGTACACGCTTCTTCCTTTTCAGGGTTGCATGGGTCGCTGGTGCCCATATCCAGCAGTCACAGTGCGAGGGGCGGGGTACACCCTGGACAGGTCCAAGTCCATCACAGGGCCACACAGAGAGACAAATGAGACAAACAACCATTCACTCWCTCACTCACACCTAGGGACAATTTAGAGTTATCAATTAACCTAACAGTCATGTTTTTGGTCTGTGGGAGGAAGCCGGAGTACCTGGAGAGAACCCACACATGCACGGAGAGAACATGCAAACTCTAACCAGAAAGGTCCCCAGACCAGGATTTGAACCGGTGACCTTCTTGCTGAGAGGCATCAGCTCTACCAACTGAGCCACCGTGCCGCCCTAAAAATGATTAGCTGCCTGAAAATCCACTCTAATTTTAATTCCTATTGGCAAAAGGGCAAAAATGTTTTTGCTCATGCAAAATAACTCATGAACCACTGAGGAGATTTTAATGAAACGTTAAATAACTACTAGCTTGACTGTTAAAAGCAATTAATTCATGGAGCCAGATTTCAAGAAAACCACCAAAATCATTGGCTGTACATCTCAAAAGATTAACTTTTGAAGTCAGTCCAATTTAGAATGGTCACCTCAAATGACTGACCCTAGAAAAGAAGAAAAATGGGTATAACTTAGTCATTTTTACAAAAATCGTACTCAATTTTTTGTGTGGTAGTACAGTTATTCACAACACGTAGTCTGAGCGTGAAATCCCATATACAGTACAACATACAGTATGTTTACGTATATATGTATATATGCAGTAAATGTTTGACCAAAATGGCTAAAATATTTCTAATTCTGTAACATAAGATGATCCCAGTCTAAAAGTGTAGCATCAAAGGTGACCATATGCATTTCTTCAAGAACACCAGGCCTTTAATTCCTTTCAGTTTGGAAGAAAAACGCTTAATGAGACAAATCCATCCGTTTGTATACATGTCCCTCTTCCTGTTTCTGTCCATCTAATCTGTTTATCTAATCTATCTTCCATGTACAATGCTTCTCGGAAGCGCTGCTGATGAGTATTAGCAAATGACCCTATTGATTTCCATACAGTAAATCCTTCCCCCTCCCTTCCATTGGCAGATCAACACGGCTTCCCCCATCATGAATGGAAGAGCTTAGGACTTTTATCTGTCAAACATTTGAACCTGTTTCCCCATCAACTACCTGTTGAAATACACTTAAACATTTAATCTGAACTTGTTCTTTTAATGGCTTTATTTAAGCGTTAATGGCGGGTCAGAGTAAAGTCCTAAATTTTTTACTGTTTATAGTCTGAAATTAGATATTAAAATTAGGGGGTGTAAGAATATATCGATACACTATATATACAGTATATATATATATATATATATATATATATATATATATCATTGCACTTAACCATTGAAATCATGGATGAAATAATTTTTGGAGAAATTACAATACTATATTGCGATATTTCGTATCGTGTCCTCTGTGAATCGTATCATCAAATTCTTGCCAATATACATCCCTAATAAAAATATACTTTTGGCTCTTCTATGATGGCTTCTCTCACTTTGTGTGCCCCATCACTCATTACATCTACAGGACCACAGAGGAAGAGGAGATAAAGTTTCAAAATGTCCACTTTTTTCTGGGTCATAAATATTGTAAAGTAGTACAGTGACCTTTGCTGTAATGAACCAGTGCACCCACCCTTGCCAACGTCGCTCACAATGTGCCCATAAAGGCTCAACAATGAGGAGGAGAGGAACTAATTCCAGAATAAAAGAGAGAAGTGGGAATTTAGAGGAAGCGAGAGAAAGGAGGGTAGAGAATGAGGTGTTGAGTGGCGGGGAGTCGGGGGGAGGCGGGGTGCYGTGAAATGCCAGCATCAGCAGGAAAACCAGTTTGCCCTCTCCGCAGCGAGCGTGTTTGCACGTGTGCAAGTTGGTGTGCTTTTGCCCAGTCGGCATTAACACCCTTCAAAGTCACTCCATCCTGAGGTGAGCACCCCACGGTGACCTCTGCCCAGAAAACCCAGGGCCTTCAGGTCTGTCTCCTTCACTGTCCTTCAATCCTTCTCCTCATTCAAATCTATCCAATTACTTCACTTTTATTTGTTCATATTTTATTAGTCTGACCTTTTTGTTTCCATTAATGAAGAGCCTAGCATTCCTTAAAGGATTGCATATAGCTGATTTTCTTGCATGCATCTTACGATAAGAAATTAAGTTGTGGGCTTTTGTTATTGTTTGATGTCTCGCTTGGAGTATATATTGCGAGTGTTTCTCAGCAACTATGTCATCAAATTTTAAAGTGTCTGTGACATCATTTTTTTGTTATAAATATGAATGCATTTTTGGAAAGATAACATTAATAACTTATTGCAAAAAAAAAGTAATGTTGCTGTGATGAACAGTTGTTGAGAAATTCACATGTGCAGTAACAGGAAGTGAACGTCTGAATGTGAACAGTAGAGGCAGTAGAGAAGAATCTGATGTTTCTTTAGTTTATTTTGAGTCACAGTCAGAGAGATGAAGAAGATTTGGAGTTTAAACAATAATGTTTTAATAAACAAACACCAGAGAGTTCCTTTGCTTAAGGCTCCCACCTACTCGGGCGTATTGTGTGCAGTCCGTGAGTTGCGCGGACTAGAGTTCATACTCAAGTGTACTGACCGCCTGACAAATTCTTCAATTTCTCACAATTTTAGTCATGGCATCAAGGATGAGGAGGAAGAGGTAGTTTGCATTTTAGCTTTAAAACAACAAAAGAAAATTGCCCAGGATCTGAGCTATTTCCTCCCGCAAATTTGTTGGTCACTGAGTTTTTCATGAATGCATCATCAAGTGTTATAATCTACTCCATGAGACGCTCTTCAAATTTTGACTCCATTTCGTCCACAAGTGACACAGATTCTCAACTTTACCTGCTTGGTGTCGCATCCAAAACAGTTCGACGTGAACCCGCCGGGCACTTTATTGTGTGACACCACGAATGCGAATGTAAAAAAATTGATCTCAGCCGCTTCGAGTATGCCCGAGTATGTGGGGGCCTTTAGAGTTTCCCTTTGATGTCACTTCCTGTTTCACTTTGGCTAAGCCAAGTTCAAAAGAAAATAATGCTTGTTATGTGAAAAAATAGGTAAAATCATGTGTTTTATGTAAAATTTCTTAAATATAAAGATGTTTTCTTTGACTTTTTGTATTTGAAGTATGCATGTCACAGTCACGTTAACTTAATATCACTTATAGCCATTCTTGTGTTTGCTCCTGTTTTGTAGCTACAGCGACTGTCTTGAACTGGAATAACTTCAATAGTGAATCACTTGTAGATGTACGTACATGCAGTGATTACTTCCTGGATGTTTCCTTAAAATCTGTCCAGTGGTTCATGAGATATTTAGCTAACAAAAACAAGCACAGACATGATCTTTTTTTTATTCTGCTCTACGTGATAATTTATAAAATGATATCTTTTTCCTCCTAATCAGTCATCTTCAATGCAATAATATTCTAAATGTGATACAGTTATCCAACTATTAATATGTAGCATTCAGCAGATAAAAATTAAACTTTAATGGAGCGTGTTTCTTCTCCCAGAGTCTGCTTCAGGATAACTAATGCGTAGCATTTTACCCGACTGACCCCATCCCTCTTAACAAAGACTTTGGAAGAGTGTTCGCCACTTAGAGCAAGCTATTTTTTAAATAATTGAGTTTCATAAGTTCAGCTGCGTTGTTCCCTCTAAATTTGAGAGYGCATTTGAGAAAGTAGATATATTCACAATAGGTTTTCCCACTCTTGTGAAGGTATAATGAGAGTTTGCACCTCTTTGAAGTGCATCAAAACTTTGGTGCTTCTCTTTGCTTGTAATGACCCAGAATAATGCTTCTAATACTGAATAAATCACTACTGTACACAAAGAATCAATTGCTTCCACTTGGCTGTACCAAAATGCCCCACCTCCTGCTCTGAGGCTAATGAACGTAGCATAGTCTGCTTGATACGAGGTCATGGGACGAGCAATGGGTCAGCTGTGGGTCAGCCATCCAACTTTAACTGATTGAGCTGAGGGAAACCCACGGAGGAGGGGATGAAACTGCTTTGGCTTGGCTTTGTCTGGCACCGAGACACCACAACAAAGTTTGTACAGAAAAGGCCATGCCCTGTCCCCGACACGACTCCCAGAGTATGCTGTTTGCTTACCTCTTTTGCCTTCTGTGTGTACCCAGTGCCCAACACAGCAAATCCAGGTCATCTGTTTACGGGCTCACACCAAGATACCTGGAATTAACCTTAATATGAATTAAATAAACAGTTTAGTATACGATCATGATTTGGGGTGCTGTGATATAAACTATTAATGTTCATTAGCAGAGAACGAAGGCAGCATCATTATGGACAGGATCAAGAAAGCTGCCAGTCGCCCATTGTTGCGGGGCTTCCCGCTTGACACGAAGGTGGTTTTGTTTCTGAATCTGTTGGCCAGCACATACACGGTGACATATAGGGACAAGCTCATTAGCACCGCTAGATGCCAACGAGCAAGCTTCCGCTTGTTTGACCCTAAAATCTACCACAAATCCGAGCAGCAGAGAGGCTTTAATTTTTGAAGCATGGGTGGTTTTCACAGCTTTACACGTGTCTCGCATGTTGGTGGGCTGCGATAGCTCAGTGGTCATTGCTACAGTCTTGTAATGCTGAGGGTGCAGGTTTGAACCCAGGTTGTGTCAAAAAGGGCATCCAACAATGGGGACCTTCGCTCGGGCTATTTTTAGAGCATGAGTCATGTGATTATGTCCACTCGACACTGATGCGAGTACAAACTCTTTTAGCCGCTCCATTGATTTCAATGGAGCTACGCCGGTTTAGCTGTGTTTAAACCTAAATAAATTTGGGAAAACAGCATCAAACTCCAATGGGAGGACCGCAAAACATTGTGCTACAGTACTTGTAACAGTGCCTCAGGATACAGCCACCATCCCCACCTTGAACAAGTATTTTTTGTCACTATTCCCAAGCTAAGATGCTAGGCTAAGAGCCGGATTCCAGTGATGGAATGAGCTGAATTTGACAGGAAAAAATCATGGACTTAACGGCTGCTCCAAACATTTAGTAGGCCATTTCATAGTTAGAAATTTATCACAAATGGTCAACTGGGTAAACGCTGAGGTTGCTATGAAAATGCCATTGTAATTGTGCAAATTCAATGAGCTCAAAAAGCACATATAAAGCTTAGATATTTATAAAAAATTCTCATCTACGATCCTAAAGGAAAGTTTAAGACAAATTAGTTAAAAGTAAATACATCGGGGCTGTTTAACGGTGTAAATTTACTTACTGAATTTTTGCAATTATAACAGCTTTTTCCCGATAGTGCTAGACCATTCTCGATAAACGCGTGAGGTCGTCTCGCTTCCCGCATGCGCAATTTTGGTCGTTTCTAACTACAAAATGGTCTATTGGAGCACTGGACCACCTGAATCCTATCCCTTTAATATCTGTCAATAAACACTAAACCTTATTGGTTTTACTGTAGCCTATGGCTAGTTTTACACTTATTATCTAAGCTAGCCTCGCACATATACAGCTTTCTACTCCCAGTCTCTACTGCAGTCAGTCCAACATATATTGATAATATTTTATTTAATCAAATTCTAACCATCACCATTAGGTTTATTTAAATGATGCTGCAGCAGTGGCTGGAGTGATAAAAATACACACACAGACACACACATAATAGATGTGGCAAGCTCAGTTATAAGACAAGGTAAAAACACCAACCTTTTTAACAATTACACTCACTTTCCAAGTCTGTGAAATACTACGAACCTCGAGCCCACCTTTCAACTAAACTGTGATTCCTGATGTGTCGAAATTTGCTCTAGAATCATCTTTGTCTGAATCAACTCTGATTGTCCGATCATTTGCGAGCGCAATGGATAATATATGCAAATTAAATGATGTCATAAGTGAAGGTCCCCATTAACCTTTTAATTTAAATTTGCACTCTGTGGCAACCCTTCAGAAAAGAGCAGACAAAAGAAAAACAGCAACASATGTCTCACATAAAGGTAAAACAAAAGAAGGCATGTGGACAGCATTCCCTGTAACACATTTATCTTACTTGTTTTCTATCCAAATTAATCAAAAGTGTGAATAATTTCTGGGTTTTGACTGCTTCATTAGTTTTTTTCTGTTCTTGTTTGTACCTCATCAGCGTCTGAACCCAACCTGAAGCTTCGTTCTCGGTTAAAGCAGAAGGTGACGGAGCGTCGAAGCAGCCCACTGCTCCGCAGGAAGGATGGACCCTTCCCCACTGCCAAGAAGCGATCACTAGATGTGGCTGGTGAGAGCACTTGAGCTCTGAAGCTCAGGGGGGAAAACTAAAGGGGCAACTTAAAAAGCCAGATTAGATGAGAATTGAACATTATCTTCAAAATGTTGCATTTTGGCGCTCCACATTGTAGACACATATAGACCTTGCCTTCCCTCATTGTTGGGGAATAACACTAGCAGCACAGGCATTTTGTTGTTTTGGGGCCAGAGTTWGCAAAAGATGGAATATACAGCAGTTGTTTTTAAATGTGCTACATTTGATTTGATCTAAGATCATTACAAATCATATTAAATTCAACACAACCAAAGGTTCAACATATCTGCCCCGGTGTACGACTGCCCACCCATTCCACATGCTGTGTGGGTGATGTCACCATGGTTATAAAAAGTGCATTAATCTTATTTGTTGCTTTAAGATGATTCTAATACATGACTAAGACGATGATTGCATTATAACAACAGAAGAAGAATAAAATCCGAGTCCACCAAAGTAATCCATGATGAACCTCAGTAATTAAATTTTGTGTAACGTCTTGATATCTGATAACATGTTGGTTTAAATTGATCTAATCTTTGCGCTGTGCATATTACAGATTCTGCATGCAACAGTGCACCAGGCTCAGGTCCCAGTTCACCCAACAACAGCTCCAGTAACATCCCCAGTGAGAACGGGGTCCCGATCTCCAGCAGCCCAGGAGAGGTAAACAGCATGGCTGCACATGAGCGCACGTGTGTGACTGCATGTTCACATTTATCTGTTGATTTTATCATGCACTCACAGGTGATCAGAGATCTTTAACGATTGAGGGCCCATTATAGGAAAAAATAACATTAAAAAATTTAAAATGATACAAAACTACAAGTACGTCACTTTAAAATATTTATGAGAGGAGTGATTTTAAATACTTACGGAAGATGATTAGGGCCACTGGAAAAAATATTCTGACTTTAATAATTCTGAGAAAAATGTGACTTTTTCCTATATGTGAGAAAAAAGTCAGAATTCTGAAACTAAAGTCAGAATTAATAAAGTTTTTTTTTATTTCAGTTGCCCTATCACTCTTTTGTACATTCTGTATGTTGCATCAGGATATTGTAAAACATAATTAGATTTTTTTAATGTTCTGTTATTATTCAATAAGTTTTCTGATCAACTTCAGTGAGCACACAACTGCTCTTGATACAGCTTAAAAGCTACAACTATTGTAGTGTCATTCATTTAAAATATTTTATGATTTGATCACCACAAATTGTACATTAGATGCAACTTGCATATAAAACTTTAAGTAAAGATTTTCTGTTTTGATCGACGTAAATCAAGTTTGGTAAAAAAAACATTTAGCCAGTTTCATAAAAAGATCCCCACAGATGTTTCCTATATTTCAGTTTTCTACTTTGTATGTGCTATTTAAGGGTTTACTGCAGGGATATTCAACTAAATTTTTCCTGGGGGCCACAGTTACGGGGGGGSCACAGTTACGGCAGGCCCACAGCTGACGGGCCGAACATCCAGCAATTAAAGTCATAATGTAAATAAACCAAGTATTACAAAGATCTGTTACTTTTGAAATAGTTTGTTTTGCTGTGTTTAATCATGAATACAACATACAGAACCCTATAAAAGTAGTGATAATAAAACAAAAACAAAGATAACACATTATGCCTCTTATTTAACACAAATAATATTTTGACATCTCTGACTTGCCAAATATTTAAACCAATTTTTTTCTTCACTTTCATGGTTTTATCTTCAACTGTTTGTACTTTTAACTGTCTTTGTTGTTCATAGAAATGGTTTTTACCAGCTTGTAGCCAAGATTCTGATGTTTTTGTAGATACCAAACATGTATATGTCAAACTAAAAGAACTTGGAGTACCTAAAGAAGAAAACTGGGTTTTAGGCCTTAAGAGATRAATGAGCCAATTGGCGGCCGAACTTTGGTCACTCGTGGTCCAGCTGTGGCCCGCGGACCACCAGTTGGATAACCCTGGTTTACTGTCTTGTCATTGTGAATATGTTTCCAGGTCTCCTTGCTTCAGAGATTGGCATCAAGGGATGGTTCAGTTAGCCACCTTTCTCTTTACACCTCACCCTCTCTGCCCAACATCACCTTAGGACTACCAGCMGCCGGTGCTAGTCCTGTGAGTACACCAACGACACGACGACCTAATAATCCTGCTAAAAAGGCATTTGTCAACAGACCAGTTGTTAATTTTCCTGCAGAGAATAATGGTGGGAGAAACCGTGACTTGTTTGTATTTTTGGCGAAGCGGGTGCACAGCATATCAGACTTTTGGCATTAGCGCCGCTTCATGTCTCTTTCCATCTTTCTCCATCCCGCTGCCCACGTGTCACTTTTGACCGTTCTCCCACTCTGACTGTCTGCCTCCCTTGTTTATCTCCTTCCTTTTGTCCCAATCCTTCGGTTTGTAGGTGGTATCGGGACACCAAGATGGCGAGAGTCATCTGGCACTGCCTGCGCTACAGCAGGGCATTCCACTGACCCGTGCTTTTCTTCCCACTGCCCACCTGCCTTCCTACTTGGCCCCTTCAGCTCTGGACAGGGAGGGGCCTGGAGGGGGCACAGCTGGTCACAACCCCCTCCTTCAGCACATGGTACTACTGGAGCAGAGCCACAGTCCAATGGGTCAGTAATCACTGCAGCAGTCACTAAACCTTCCTTTCTTTTCAGCTTCTTTGAAATGTTGAGAATAAATCAGCAAAAGGGTTAAATTTTAAAGCATTTTTATTGTGATTTTTTTACACTTATTAAAGCTAAAGTTCTGTGTCTCCAGACTTTATTTTCATTTTTTTGAGGTTTATCACAAAAGGAAAATTGAACTCTAAAACAAAAAAAAATGCACCAGTGTGCACTTTTTAAAATTAAAACCAGGCAGCTGCTTTCATAAGCCTTTGAGTTTTTAATGTGACTGAGCTTTTAAAGACGTTTACCAGCTGCAGCTYGGTTCATGAAAAATGTACATGTAACAAAAAAACCTGAAAAGCACCTTTAAAACCAGTTTGTTTTTTTACTAACAAATTTGATTTGAACAAAATATAATGGACAAAATAGTCAAACAAAATGAGTGAAAACCAGAGTCAGATGTACAGAAAGTAAATTAAAAAAGAAAATATGAACTTTGATTTTTCTAATCACTGGTAGTTTCCAGTTTCCAGGTGCGTTTTAATGATTCAACCATCTTACAGAGATTTTTAAATCTATTTTCTACACTAACATGTCTGATTTAATCTCCTTAAAGTTTCACTTTTTTGTTTTATGAGACTGATTCAGTAAACGAAGAAGGCAGTCGTTTGCTCTGCAGCTGGTTTGACATTTTCAGGACAGGTCAACATTCAGAGTTTAAAACCTGTTTTGTAGCAGCAGATGACCTTTCAGGTGATGAAACAATTAGAGGTACTCTTTTTTTTTGCAATGCTTTTAAGGCTTTGTGTGTTTTGCAGAAAATGTTTTTTTTTTCAACGTTCTCTTWGAAAAATATGAGCCATTGCCCATTTTTGTAATTACTCTCTCTGAACAGTTGTTCACTCTTTCTTTTGTTCAAACACAAAAATATGTAAATAGGATGAACACCTATGGATAGTATTTTTACTTTCAAGGCATGTTGACATTTACAAGTGAAATATTTCTTTCTTTTTGTTGGTCTCAAGTACAATACCCACTTGCTGGAACATCTCCAAAGTGCAATATACAGTGCTGCTAACTTGCATTATTTTTTTTCCTGTTTTAAATATAGCAGTGATAACTCTTTTATAGCTTAGTGCAGTGATTCCCAAACTTTTTGTCTTCTGACCCACAAAATATCCATGGCAAAAACTTGTGACCCCAAATATTAC